CCATTGGCCGCTGCGCTCGTCAGTTTCCACGACCGCTCACCCCATGGCGCTGCCTGTCCATCAGCGCTAGAGAAAACTAGGTATTTTCTTATCCACTGATGGCAAGGGGGTTTCATAGCCTCACTTTCTTTGCACTGCAGAGTGAATATAGATTTCACATTTAAATATTCTAAGCTTAAATGGTAAAACAAAATGGCTAGGTGGCGTAAGCTACCGCCCGATCCAAAGGGCTCAGCCGTATTCATCCATCCATCGCTTCGTTTACACGGAGCGTCCAAGGTCACCAAGGGAGCCCGCGCGCTGACCGGTGACGAAAAGTACGCAGCAGACGACAAATGGAGCAGACGAGCGGCTTGCATGCTTTCGCATTCACAACTTATAACAAGTGCTTAGGTGTACCTCGAGCTTTTTATTTTAATTTTATGTGCGCCGTTTTGTATGACTGTTGGCGCCACCAGGCAATGGGGGGTGAGGCCCCTTCTTAGGTGGACTGCGGTGGCTTCGCAACGGCATTGTTCAAAAACAATGTACAACATGTAGCGCAAAAATAAAATACAAGAAAAAACGCAAAACTGTGTTTTAAAATGCAAAAAAAAAAAAAAAAAAAAAGCGCGACTGATTGCGGGTGCCCGGCTTTCTTTTTGCTTTTCTCTCTCTGGACTCGCACAACGCGTATGTATGGGTATGGCTGCTTTTTTTCGCGTGCTTCAGTTATTTATAACCAATTCAGTTTCTAAATGTCTACTTTTTTTTTTTTTCGTTTATTACGAAAATATGGGCGCCAGGCGACAATTTTGTTTGGAGTCTTCCTTCCCTCCCTGTCGGTTCAGTACAATGAAGTGGAATGGATATGCTGAGACACCGCCAGGCCGCTTTCGTGGACCCGCGTGATTTTGCACAAAAATCATAATCATCGGAAGCGCGACAAAAAAAAAAAAAAAAAAAGAGAGAGGTGGGTGTTTAATAAACGATGTGTCAGCCGGCGCCTGGTGCTGGTTTGCTACATTGTGAAATGAACGGAAGCGAAAATCATAAAAATAAGAGAAAGGTAAACAGAAAAAAAGATAGAGGAAGAGAGCACACAAAACCAAAGTATTAAAAGATAAATAAAAAGAAAAGGACGAGAATGTTTCACTGAAAAATGTCATTGCTGTTAGTCTGCTCCCCTACCTACTGTTTCTTCTGTAAGCGAATAGCTGCCAGAAATTTCAGCAGAGCTTTCGTGGCTTTATACCCTTCAGCAGCAGAAATCCATGGACCAAGTAGAATACGAATGTTTACGTCTTGTTCATTTTGTAGCCTCAGGTCTGTCTTCATAAGCTCCCTTTCACGGCTGTACTCCTCGCAGCCATCACTCTTAGGTACGCCACTAAACCAATAAAAGCATTTGAAGCGTTCGACTTCAAAGGATTTCATTCTTTCGTTTTGCTTGCCATTCACCCAGTTCCCCCCCCCCCCCCCCCCCTTTTTTTTTATGTTGTCGACAGGCGGACATTCTTGTTTTGAGTATACTGCAATTAATGCAAAGGTGCAAGCGAGCTGGACAAGAATGACAATAATTCCTGGAGAAGGGGGACAACAGACATATTTGTGATTTGTGTTTGTCCTTCGTCCCCTTTGTTCCCCTTCTCCAGGCATTTATCATTGAACATTTTTCGACCATACTGATCGGCTTCGAGGTTAACAATCAACGTGTCGTCAAGCCCTACTTGGGTGGGTTTTGGTATATGCTACTGTAACTGGCAGTTGCAGTCCGCAGAGCATTTAGACACGGCCAGTGCATCGTACTAAAGACATTGGCATTGCATTGGCATTGCATAAGCGCTGCAGGACATACTTCGAAGCATGATGTGAACCAAACCCTCTTTCACCTTGTTTGGTGCGTGTCGACAATCCTGTCTGCAGCGCGTGTCTTTTGTAGGATGTTACTTGAGCGGCGCGACTGCGGCTTTCCCCGGCCGGCAGCTGGAACCCCCGTGCGGTGGAACCCCGAGGCTCCTCTCCAAGCGCGCAACTCGGAGCTATCCCTAATGGGGAGCAACCGCCCTTTGCGATGTCGTCCCCGTGTGTTTCGGGTTCCGAGTGATGACCCTCGTGTGGAGCGACGGTTGGCATCCTTCTCTGAAAGACGAGTCCGTCCTTGGCGTTCCCCGTCGTCGTCTTGGCGGTCATTGTTGTCTCGTTGTTTATCGTCGTCGTGCCTCGCGTGCGAAGCGGAGCGTTGCGCGGAAGCGTGGAATGCGGGAGGGAATGATGCCCCCCCCCCCCCCCCCCCTCCCTCCCTCCCTCCCTCCCTCCCTCCGATGGTCGATGGACGGGCCAACCGAAGCGGTGCCCATTGTTCCGCTGGGGGCGGCGGCTTGTCTTTGGCGCCGCTGTGCGATGCCATATGGGACACGCCGGCCGGCCGCCGGGATCCCAGCGCATCGGCCGAGCCGCGTCTTGACGGCTGTATTCGCACGGACGGACCCCGGGGTCCTATGCCCCCAGTCTTGTAGACAGGGGTTTCCCCTGAGAATTAAAGTTCGGGGGGGGGGGGGGGAGGGGGAGGGGGAGGGGGAGGGGGGGAGGTAGGTAGGTAGGTAAGTAGGTAGGTAGGTACGTAGGCAGGCAGGCAGGTAAGCGCAAGGAGGCAGTCGTTTTTCTCCATTTACTTCACTCTTTTCCCGTCATTTTGTTCTTTTTTGTGGGGGGAGGGGGGAGAGGGGGGAGAGGGGTAGAGGTAGAGATGCATGTGTGGTGCCCGACAGTAGTTCTGGAACTCTACATTCAACATGACAGTATAAACATTTAATGAACAATGCATAATTTCCTTTAGAAAGCACAAAGTAGAGCAAAAAGCAACAGCAAAAAATACCAGTCACAATATCAATACTGTGATACCGCAATGAATGTCAATTGTAACTTTTAGCAAACCGTTACTCTGTTCTGTGTACCGCACTACGAAAGGGGCCTTTGAAGTATGCTTTTAAGCGTGTGCCCGGGTGACACCGTGACCGCGGGGAGCATGCTTAAAAGCATGCTTCAAAGGCTCCGGTAGTATGGTACGCGGAACATGGTAACAGTTTGCTAAATGTACCCATTAAAGATATATTCAACGGTCAAACTTCCTGACTGTTCTCCTTCACGTCAATGGGAGGAGCCAAGGAGCTAAGCAGTGTGGAGGAGATGAGACAAAACATCTTGTGCTCTGATGCCACTGCGATGTTAGCTCCCTACAAGACCAACTTTATAACCAACGCGCTCAAAAAAAAAAAAAAAAATTGCACGCAAAAACATTTTTTAAATTTTTTAGCAGCGGATTTTTTAAAGGGATGCCCTCAGACAAATGGGGAGTGGGGGGGGTGGTATTCAGTCTCTTACAATATAAAAGACTTGTTCGCCGGTGCAGTTTATTGGCGGTGCTAAGCACCTTTTGGTCAGAGGCACGTCTTTTATTTTTAGAGAGGGGAAGAGTGGAACAAAGATTCATTTATTTTCTCGAGCAGTGTGTGCCTAATGAAAACAATCGCACACAGCTATATTCTGTTCCACAAGCCCGAGAGTTTGAGTTCGCTGCTTTGAAGTTTCTTCCGCAAAACGATCGCTTGCGCTTGAAATGCATGTCTCAAAGCCTGGAGAACAGGCTAGCTTGCGCTTATAGCATTGGCTGCAGGGTGAACGGAGTGTATATGAAAGTATGTTGTTGAATGGGCGTGCCATATCGCGACAAACAAATATGCAGTGAGCGTGGAAATGATTTGGCGTAGCTAGGTAAGTGCTGGCATCGGAGTTGTTTGCCACACAGCGATTGTTTGGTAATGATGATGATAATAAAACTGTGCCCCCTATAGTTTCATCCCCTTGCTGGTTTTTATGCGTGCACCATTTTGTTGTCATGAGCTGTTGGGCGTGTGCCAAAGGCAAATATTTCAAGGATTCACATGACAGCCTCAAGTGTGTAGTGCACAGCGGCGGCGGCGGCGGCCGTTTCATCACACTCACATGGAAGCCAGGCGTGCAAAAACCAAGGACAAAAGACGGATTAATGTCGCATGAAAACACGCTATTCTGACATTTACGGGCATTTTTGTGTTGGCTTTTTGAGTTCACTTTTATTTACTTCAATTAAGCGTGTCTGTGCAGGTGGGTCAGGGGTGAAGGGGCACAATGTTACCAAAAACGTCAAACAAGAAGTGATATGATATGTAGGTGGGCCAAGGTGAACACGCATTAGTGAATCACGCTCTAGGTGGAAGTTTGTGGTTGTCTGTCCTTTCTCGTTTTCTTCCTCGAGTTTAATTATCCTATACCAACCCGCTCATTCTGTCCTTACAGCTCTCAGTAGCTTCCAGATTTTTTTTACACTTTGTAAGAAAGAAAGAAAGCGAAGAGTTATGCACAAAGTGCCACAGTGTCAATGAAGCGTGGGTTCCTGAAACGTGCGTGTACAAAAAGTTGTACACGAACGGAGTTTCCAGGAAACGCCACTGTGTCTGTGAAACGTGGGTTCATAAAACTTGTGTTAACGAAAAGTTGAGGACAAAACGTGTTTCCACAAAACAGTAGGAACCCTGAGACAGCCTCCATTCTTTTCTGATGCACAGAGCCCTCCTCCCTCGGAGGTCCGCAAGAAGAAGTCGCTGCGGGCGGCGGAGGAGCCCGCCACCCTGTCCCCCTTCATGGTTATGGGCTCGGACCCAGCGCTCTGGCCCCAGTCCCAGTGGGCTAGGACCTCTGCCTTCAAGCCATGGAGCCCCATCGTGCCCGGCTCCAAGGAGCGGGCACTGGGCAAGGAGCACCATCCCCACCTGCCGCTCCTGCCTGCGGGGGCACCCGCACCCCTGTACCCCAAGAACAGGTGCGTTTGATATTCTTCAACTCTGGAGAGTTGGGTAACTACAGGAGGCCAAGGGCCCATACCCGTACGTTTGGCTCGAAAATAGTCAGTGCACGCATACTTACAGGCTTACATACAATGATACATAGTCAAAATGCATAGATTAATGAACCACACTAATCAAATGGGATGACTGTTGCAAAGCCACCAAAAGATTAAATGTTTGGCGGCTCCGGGGTTTCGTTTTTCGGTGGCTTCTTAACATTTATTCTATTCGATCAGTAGGGTTAGTTCATCCGCATATTTAGACTATTTCCTCTTTAGAGTTTGTATAAGATGAGAAAAATGACCCGCGATATTTAAGCGCCGTTCACACATTTACAACTGAGTGCGACCGAGAGAGACAACTTCAAAATTAAAAGCAGCGTGGAAAGACGAGGACCAGACGAAGAAGTGACACGGACGTAGCGCTGACTTACAACCCTCTTGGGACGTCTTAGGACTGGATGCGCTGCTGCGGGGTTGGTCCTAAGACGTTGCAAGAGGCTTAAAAACCGGTATTTTCTCTCTCGGTCGTACTCGGTTGCAACTGTGTGAATGAGCCTTAAAAGATACGTATATACATGGCTTGTACTGATGTCACTTGATCAGTCATAATGGGAGAAAGGGCGCGTGAGAGGGTAGCTTCTGCTGTGTTAGCGAGACCCTTCTGGCCGCCAGAAAGAGAGATGGACTTGGGGGAAAAAAGGGCATGAGAGCGTAGCTTCTGCTGCGTGAGCGAGGTGCTTCTGACCACCAGAAAGAGGGGCAAACGGACGTCATGTGCAAGCCATGTATAGCTTTGGACCGGGGCATAAGGGGACATTGGCAAAGGGGGCTCATGATTGCTGAGGTTTCCGCCGGAACACAATCTGCGAGGGCCCCACTGCCCAGAAGACACACTGTCCATTGAGAATCAGCTGTTCATGCTATACCGCGCAGGGCACAAGCTCTGATGCTGTACTAGTGCCCGGTCTATGCCCTGCGGTGGCCAACGGTAGGCAACATGGAAAATCCGGCACTACGTAGGGTCCTGTTATCTGGAAGCTGTTTGCTCGGGGCTACTCTCTTTCTCTGGAAGACCTTAATCGACAAAAATACACACCACACTATGTGCTATTCTGGTTAGCTTCTGCAATTTAGCGAGCCCTAGGAGCAAAAAAACGCCCTTCCTAGAAATTGTGCAGAGAGTTCTTTGACGTCCGGCACGTGCAGATCAAGAGTGGTCAGGGGACACAGATCCATATTTAAAAGCAATGAGTCTATGGAGTGTAGTTTTTACGACTACTAAGACACCAAAAATATGTTGTTTCAAAGAACTTTGAGTACATAGTTGTAAGGAGTGACCATGCGGAAGGTGAGAACGGCAGAAAGGGGCCTCGACAACGCTTGGGCGTCTTGCGCACCTCAATCCCGCATTTGCAGCCAAAGCATAGAGGGAGGCACAAAGCACGTGGCAGAGGCCAGGCATTCTAAAGATTAGCCCCGTCGTTTTCACTCTGCCGGTGACCATTATACACGAGGAGCGACTCTCCGTGACTTTGGTGAACTCGAACGTTGCATTCCTCGGCGGTAGTTGTCAGGCTTCAGTTTGGCCTTGGCCATTTTTCAAGAAGATCTGCGACTTGGCAACAAAAAGAATATTGGGGAGCGTCTTTGTTCCAAAATCTGGTTGCAAGATTTCACGTCTTGTAGCTATTCTTCGCTGAATTACCCTCATGTGAGAAACGCATTGTTTCTAGTCTTTTTTAGAAGACAAGCACAGAAGGACATTTTGAACTTTAAAAGGAGGTTCTGAGACATTGCCCAAAAAATCCCGGAAGGCCGTGCAGCAATCCCACGTTGCACCGCTTGAAGCGGGAAATTGTAGGGATGTTCTGACGTACGCTTGTGCTGACTCTGACACTTTGTGAATCCTGGAAGTGGCTTGATCCATCTTTTATCCTTGTGAGTTTAGAACAGAGAGAAAATAGAACGAACATGGAGCAAAGTTGACACCTGCACTCTTCTGTTATCGTCTTGTCGCCCTTGAGTTCTGAAGTCGCAAAATGGTAAATCAACAGAAACTTCTTTTCTTCGGGGGTACTCTCATGCCATACTGAACATCTTCAATGAAGGATAGAAAACAAAAACAGGCAAACAACCAAGGAATGTGACAGGTGCAGTTGGCATTCAGCTAACAAGGGACTCATTTTCATCGTCGTCTACAGTGGAAGCGGATCTCGTATTTCTCGGCTAAACACGGGTCTGATGTCAACCTGCTTATCTCTCCAAATTCTTTTATGCAAACACGGGGCAGGTTCACAAACCTTTGACTGCTCTTATCTGCCCGTGCCAAATGTCAAAGAACTCTATGGCTTCGTACACTTTCTCGGAAGGATCTGTATGTTGCTTCCTAGGTTTGCTCAATTGCAAAAGCTAACCAGGGTAATGCATACAGAGAAACATGCTGTTTACAAACAAGTCCTTATTTGCACACACCGGGTGTGGGCACTGGGCATGTGCAGTGACCAGATTCGCATTAAAGGCCGACATACAACCTTGGTTTTCTGCGGGGAAGATAATCCTCTTTGTGCTCCCCCTCTCCTAAGTTGCGAAGGGAGCCAATTTGAGGCAAGGGAAAAAGGGGTGAGGATATAGGAAAGGAGGAGGCGGGCAAAAGTGGAAAGCACGAATGTATGTCAGCCTTTTAAGCGTCTGTGCTTGACAGCAGAGTGACGTTGGAGCTACATGTTTGTGTGTAGACAGTTCACACAAGGGCGCCACCATCTTGAAAAATCGTCCCTTCCAGTATGGGCAAAAACATTGTCTTGCCGATTGCCACGCCAATAAACTACATTTAGAATATAAGCGTAACTGCCACCAATTGTCGTTGTGCCTCCTTTCTGTCTTTTTACTATTTGGAGGTTGAAATGTTTTATATAATTTTTTGTTGCCCATACCGGATATGTTTATAGGTGGCTGGGGACGAGAGTAAACAAAAAAGGTCTACAGTGGCATTTTTTTTTTTTGTTGATATAGGCCTGCCATAGATGTGAATCGTATTGAAGGGCCCATGAAACAAATTTTGGACTGGAATAAATCAATTTATATTGGGATTTTACTAATATTACATCGTTCAGTGGGCACTAAAGAAAAAAAAGGTAGAAAGTCAAGAGCCTGACGGAAATTTGAAAACTTTTTTGTTTTCAAACGCTGCGGACTATTTTGTACCTTCTTTCCTTCATAAGCTCTCTGCCTTTTCACTTGAATACATCCACGGACCCCGCAACGCGTCACCGGCTCCAAACGCACGTCACACGATGCCGGACCTCACTTATTCCCTTCACCCCTAAGCTGACATTGTGGTGGAAGCTACGTGCTTGCCTGACCAATCAGCCGCCCCCCTTTCATCACCTGACTTCATTCTCTGCACGTGGGTATGCGCGAGAGAGCGAGATCACGTGGCAAAAGTGTGGCTGGCCCAAAGAGCACGTAGCTTCCACAGCACTGTCAGCTTCAGGGTGAACGGGGTGGGGAGAGCAACTTTTGTCTGAATTTTGAGCGACCGGCTAATCTTCTAGGGGGAGAATGGATGCGTCCGGATTACACAAACGAGAGTTCGAGCAAGTGGGGACTCCCCCCTTCCGTCTTCTTGAACTGTTTGATAGAATGCGCGATTTATGGGTCGAGGAAGAAAGTTAAACAGGAAAAAGTTGGAAAAGCGTTTCGTGACTCCTTTAACTCTGAGATGCCCCATCGAGAGGATCTAACAATAATCTGGAAACCAGTTGTGTTGTCAACTACAGGTGATGCACGCAACCAATTCAGCAAGTAAATAAAAAATTTTGGCTGAGCATTTTTTATATTTTGTCAGTTTCCAAAGCATGTTTGTCACATGCTCCTTCCCAGGTTTGCCTAGCCTTTGCTTTTTACAGTGAAGCTGTTTATGGCTAGGGTTCCGTGGATATTTCGTGTGCAGTGACTATAAACTCTACGCTCGCACCGCTGCACGCACTGCACGTGCATGCCTTCCCCGTATAAAAGAGTCGAAGTAAATTACCAAAATGAAGCGTTGATGAACGCATGTGCAAAATGCCGTTTGTTTTAGGCATTTGCTTCAGAACAGTTACTGCTGCAGACGCCGCCTGCACGTGCAGCGGGTGGAACGTTACACCATTTCCTGCATTCTCTTTGACGCTTAGGTAATTTAGCAATAGGTCTATTCAGTAGATTAGGTATCATTAAGCACCATTTTCAAGATCAATAGACTCTCAGGTAGGTAATAAAGGTTTCTCAAAGATTTGTCGCTGTGCGACCTGCGTCATCCATATCTACGCTCACACCGCCCTCTCTTTGGCGTCGTTCCAAGCGCTTGCGTGCCTAGCTCTCCTGGGGTGGCTGTCCCATTGTGCGTGTCTACTCTCCACCCAGTGGCGGTCCGGTCGCGCATGTCTAGTTTTTTCCAAATCTGTGTCGTGTGATAAACATTTTTGCTAGTCCTCCACCTTCAGAGTGGAATGGCTCATGATTTTTTTGAAAGAAAATACTGTACTGACAGTTTCTAATTAATAATTTTAGTGCTTTCTAATACATGCCTTGCACGTGACGCCATATGGCACCGTACCAGCCGCCATTACTCTGTACTATGCTTCTTTGCCCATACTTTCTGCAGAATACATTTCATACCATTGAATTCATTCTTCTCACCAATCCTTGCCAAGAAGAAGAAGAAATTTGATGGTGCCGAATGTATGCTGCAGAAGATGCGTGCACGGGAGCATGGTACGCAGCAATGGCGGCTGATGTGACATCGATGCAAGCTATGTATTGTTAGCATAGTATCGTATGTTTTCAGCTTGACTGGAAAGTCTTCGTATTGCTACAAGAAATACAACTCAAAATTTTGGATATCGCCTATGCTTTGTTAGGAGAGAACACTCCGTTCTCACAGGCGGGTAGGTCCAGAATAGTCCTGGACAAAATGGTCCCAGACTAAATGATTCCAAGCAAAGTGGTCCCTGACGAACGGACAAACTGCTCCAGAACAAAATGGTCTCGGACAAAATAATTTCAGACAGAATGGTCTGCGAGTCAAACCTGGACAAAACTGTCCCTATTGCAAACTTGGGCAAAACGGTCCAGTGATTTTTCAACACTTTTGGCACTAATAGTTAAGTGAATTGCTACACTGAAGTTTAATTCAACACAGAGTCAATGTATTTATATTTAATGCTTTCAAATATTTCTGATATATTAAAAAAAAGAAAAAACTAGCAGTGGCTTTTGCTCCCTGAGAGTTAAGTCTCCTATTATTCTTGTCCAGCTCCATAGCTCTTAGGCAGCCAGCATCTAATGGATGAGGCACCTTTAACATTGGTGTCTACGTGATGCTCGGCCTCCCTGCGCAGGTTATGTTCTTGAATCGAAGCACCATTTTTTTTCGTCATTCACCAAGCTGGCTTTTGAGGAACAAAAAATGAACCTCTACGGCCCTTAAAAAAAAAGGAAGTAAAAAAGGACAGATAGTTTGTTCACAAGAGGGTAGGCCAATTTTCAAGTAAATACGACGCCCTCGTCCTACAAAGCAAGTGCCAGTTTTCGAGTATCTCTTGTAATCTTGGTATTGAGTTATTTGCTGAAATTTGAGTGACTGTACACTCCTCATGGTATTGATTCACAATGCCAGTTTGACAATTCGTTGTACCACATTTAGTGTCCTCTTGACCGGTTGGCTGTTTCCTCTTGTCTCTGCAGTCTGCCATACTCAATGGTGGCATACTTTCCACCGGGGGCCGAAATGGCTGGTCTCCACAAGCTGGATCCGGGGATCGTCAAGCTAGACCCCGACAGGTGCGTGCCCTATTGCTTCATTCTTTCAACACACACTCCCAAGACCTTGCTCCCTGCGCCAGAACAATTTAAGAAGTACTTTACCTATAGATAGGAAGTCGCTGTTAACTGCTAGGTTCAACCATCGTGCAGGCAGCGAGGTTAATCTCAACTGTGCCTTACTTCAAATGGACCTCAAGTGTAATAGAAGCTAAGAGCTTGAGGTTGAAACCACTGTGGAAGCGGCTTTCTTAGCTAAGAGTTCGAGCTCGTGGTTTTGCCCTCGTGATGTAGCCTGTTTTTAGCCTGGTATGGTGGCATGGGAGGCACACGCCATAGTCTCTAGGAAAGGGTGGATAAATACAGGCGTGTGTCCGCATAATTGACTCTGGCACTGGAGGTCAAGAGAGAGGGTGCGCTGTAATGAATGCCACTCGGCAGTCATGTGCCCTTCGACGGCAAAGATGGAAATGGTAAATAAAGATGTAACTGGCAAAGCTGTGCAACCGAAGGGCCAATCATGTGGGAGCACGTCTGCCACAAAATGCTTTCCACTCCACCTAACATTTGGAGATAACCTCGAAAAACTATGGATGGGCACTTGTCAGGAGGGGCATATTACAGGGTGGGCCCTTGCTTGGGCTGACCATCGATTTCAAGATGTTGTTCATTTGGGCCACCTGGCAATGCATAAAAACGGCATACGCTTGCGGGAGAACCTTGATTCCTTGTTCCTACTAAAACCACTCGTCTCCACAACGCTAGTTTCGAAAAAGAGCGGATAACGGCCGCCCCCTGCGACGAGCGCTTGACATATTTTGTCGAGCGCTCGTCCTTGGCATATTTTTGAACTTGCTTAAAATAGGGTGCGACTGCTTATTATATTCCTTTTCTCTTTTTAATGATTTAAAAGTACTAGGCTGGATACTGATCGGGGCTTGAACATATGGTCAGTATTTTCCGGTGTGTGTCGGTCTCACTCAAGCTTCTTAACGTACTAATGTTTGTTTGGAGCTCCGTGTCAAAAAGTCTGGTGTTTATTTTTCGAGGTATGCTTTTCACATTGGCACAAAGCTCCCAGTACGTACTTCCTTTTAGGGTGCAGAAAAGCATTTTGAAATGGTGCCTCTCTAGTTTCGGACCCGATGACAGGCCAAAGCCCTGGCAGGTCCCACACACATATGTTTGACCAAAACTATCTAGAACTTTAATTTTTACTGAGCAATGGCACTGTCCTCTTCTCCATTTATAAACTGCCTAGTCTCAAAGCCAAAACGCAAAGTTTGTCAGACTGATTGGAAAGCATGGTGTCTATAGGAGTGTTGCGGAATGGGCACCCCCATTCCATTCCAATTCCATTTCAGGAATTAGAGTTTTTGATAATTCAACTCCTTTCAACTCCTAGGAATGGGGACACTGGGCCCATTCCCACTCCTGGAATGGCTGAATCGTTCCATTCCATTCCTCTAATTCCTAAACTTAAAAATTGGCACTTGACAGCTACATTGTGCAATGTTTCCGGCATAAGCAGCATAAAGCTTATATTGTCAAATGCATATATACAATTGCAAAAAAATGCTAAATGCCTCAAAAAAGCACTGATCTTACTAAGCTCACGGTGCTGGATTGCCTGAAGTGACTCGAAGCATCCGCAGCGGTCCATCGCAAGGTGAAACAAAGTCTGCAGAGACTAAAGTCAAAGGAAAGGAGCAGGTATCCGCTAGCTTGTTTGTAACCCTAACCCACTTGAATGTAAACTATATAACACAGAAAACAAGCACCAGAACAAAGACCAGGTAAAAGGGGGACTTGCACGTAAAAATGCAGTATAAAAAAAAAAAAACAAGCGTCGGAGCAAAGCGCAAGAGAAGAGAAAAGTGAATCTCGCTTTGTTTTAATGCCGAAGCACACCCAGATTTTGCACTTCAAAGGAGTGCACACGAATGAATGTGGAAGACAGCAGGGTTGGCCACCTGCTAAACAACGCTCCTCGAACTAAAAAAAAAAAAAAAATTAATCATCTTTCGCTTGCGGTGTGCGAGTCAACGAGTTATCAGAGCTCTGCGAGTTATGACTCGCCTTCCGCTCCCAGATGTCGGTCTGTGCGCAAGCGTGCATTCTCCATGCCGGCGGTTTCTTTCTTTGCCGCTTTCTTCGTTTCTTTTGCTTGGTGCTTGGTTTTCTGTTTCGCTCTCATGTAACACCAGTAAAGCTCGTCGTCTGCGCGTCCGTGAAAGGCGCCACCGCCACTCCCTCCCCCTTTGGTCTTTGCTCTGACACTTGTCTTTTGTATTGCTAGCAGTTTCCCGCACATTTTTTTTCTCAGCAACTGACTCGCTGACTGGCTCCGTTTAGCTAAACGTAACCCCCCCCCACACACACACAAAGTAAATAAATAAATATATAAATAAATAAATAAAATAAAGAACTGGGCCCATTTCATTCTGGGCGAAATTCATGTAATTCCATTCCCATTCCATTACCCTCAACATTGCTGTCATTCCATTCCCATTCCATTCCCATTCCATTCCGGGGTCGCAAAAATGCGGAGTGATTCCGGAATCATTCCAGCTCTGGAGTGGCAACTACGCAACACTGGTCTATAATTGCACACTTTGTTGGGATGCGCCTTCCCCAATGCCCTACATGTTGTAAGGGTGTTAGTAATGCAATGATTAAATGTTGATGGGATTTACAGTGAAGGCAAATAAGGTGACATTACGATCGTTCAGGAAGGCGAGCTCTAAAAGTCACGAGCTTCCGCACACTTTCTTCACTGAGCTTGCGCTTCTTCCTCCTTTTTTCCTAACAATATAATAACCAGAGACCACTTTATTGATAGTTAAGATGCACACATTTCCTAAAAGAGATAATCGTGCAACGAGATGTGCAGCCAGTTGGAGACAAAGGGCAAATGAAAGTTTCAGCGTGCGACGACGAGGGAAACCAACGTGTTCTGTGCATCTCCGATTCCAGGCCGGAGCTGTGCCTACTTCCACCAACAGCAGTGGCTGCAGCAGCGGCGGCAGCTGCGCAGCAGAGGCACCTGCTGAAGAAGCAGATGCAGGCAGAAGGGGAAGTGGTAGCCAAGAAGGAAGCGCCGCGGTCCCGCACGGGCAGCGTGGACTCTGGGCAGGGCGGGCCACCGGCCAAGGCCGTCAACGGCCGCGTGTCGGCGGATACGGACGAGACCATGTCCAACAGCAGCCTCAGCACCCTGTCTGGTAAGGAGCCTTCCCTCCTTTTCTTGCCCCAGGGCTGGCTGGTGTCTGAGCTACCTTTCGTTGGGACGATAAAGTTTTTTTTTGGAAACGTGCCGGCTCGTAGCATTGCCCATGGCACGGCATCCGTTCCGACGCCGGAACGAACCAGAAATCTGTTGAATCGGGGTGCATTTCTGAAAAGGGATCCCATGTTTCTGTTAGAGATAATCTGACAAGAAAAGGGGCAATGTATATTGATGGGCAATCACCTGATTCTAGTGGTTAATGAACTTTATTAAGTGGCCAGGAAGCACAACTTAATGAAAAGCTTTGCTTGATGTGTGGTGGTATGGTAATTTACAAACTATATCTGGATCACATGATGCACATAATCTGCTTAAAATGACGTGGAAGGGAGTGTCTGGATCTTCTTAGAGCATTGTTTGCTTTATAGGGAGCTCAATGTGTTGCACATTTTGTTTCAGAACTTTCGAACAAATATTTTTCCACAAAATTTAGCATGCTTCAACAAGCAAAGTACCTTACCCAGTCAAATACAAAAGCTAGGCTAGAACTGCTAGTGAGCTGGAAACACTTCAACTTTGACATTAGGGTACCACCACTGCTTTTCACCTGAGGAGCTGGATGCAAGGATACAACCGATGCTAAAATTGTGTGTCATGGTTGCTCCAACTGGATGCGACATTCTGTTTTCACGGGTTCTGCGAAGTACTAACGTGGACACTGGTGCAAGACCACTGCTGTGCTTAATGCCTCACTTGCTCGAGACTTGTCTAGGAATAGCTTTTTGCAGAGCTTGCTTTGATGGCATTGCACACGTCTTTTGGGGTGAAGTATAAGCATTGCCCTTTCGGAACATTCCTATAGGTTGAGATGCTGTTGGCATTAAAGGGCAACTCTGGTTCATTTTTAATATTAAGAAACCAATGCAGTTTTCTTTAGTGTTGCCTAAAAAGAATGTGCGCCAAATATTTCAATCTAATTCCGCCTAAAAGTGAATGAAACTGGCAGACAAAGTTTGAGGTGCGCGAAATTACGAAAATTTGCTAATCCTAGCGGGCAAGGTGCAGCGTAGCCAACGTCGCAGTCAATACCACCGTGTCGGTGCGGACCACTCTGCGCTATCTACGTCACGTTTGGGACGCTCGGGGAGATTCGTTTGCTTGTTTTGTTCTTCTTTAGGCGAGGCCACGTGATTCACAAACGCACAGTTGCTTGTGTGCTCCAGTGTCAGTATTCGTCATCACTGGCAGCGTCTGTTGCGTGCGAGAGAGTCAATTTGCAACATTGAGCACAACATACTTCTACAAACCCGTCGCAACATATTTTTGTGTGGTTTAGTGAACTTTACTTTCTACTAATGTTTTCAAAACAAGCCCTTGAGAAAACGTGCCTTTTTCTGTGCTAAAACACAAGCCGCTGCCTCGGTAGCGGTGTCATCGTCGGGTGTAGCAAACTGTCGATCGTAGTAGACAAGACTTTCGCCCTTGTGCCGAGATGCGCCCGTCCGCCTGGTACGTTGCATCACGATTTGCTCCACGTGGTTGGAGCGGTTAGAGTATGAATATGATGGCGCAGGAGCAATTTTGCATGCCACACAGGCAAGGTTTTGATTTTGGTTTGTGGTAATTTTTAACCCCTTAAGTGCTGCTTTTTTTAATGCGAAAGCATTAACGGGAGGAGGAGGAGGAGGAGGAGGAGGAGGAGGAGGAGGAGGAGGAGGAGGAGGAGGAGGAGGAGGAGGAGGAGGAGGAGGAGGAGGAGGAGGAGGAGAGAGAGAGAGAGAGAGAGAGAGAGAGAGAGAGAGAGAGAGAGAGGGGGGGGGGGGGGGGGGGGGGTCCATCAACGCGCCGTTAACATGGAGCGTCCAAGGTCAGCATGCCCAGGAGAGCATGCGTGCTGACCGGCGACGAAAAGTATGCAGCAGACAAAAAAGGGAGCGGGCGAGTGGCTTGCATGCTTTCCCATTCACAACTCATAAAGGGGTATCCAAACAGAACACTACAAAACGCACGACTCCGACAAATCGTGAAAATTGAAGCGGACGCTTTTATTTTTACGATTTGTCGGAGTCGTAAAACTTTTTGCAGGAGTCGTGAAAACTTTCACGATCACGACTGCTCTCCTCGCCTCCTCCACTTTTCTTTGACGTCACACGCCACCTGTATCCGGCTCACCTCGCCAACGACCTCGCGTACCGTTGCCGCCTCGGCTCGAAGGCCAAGGGGGTCCGGCTTCGGATGGATTTGGGACATTCCTGCGTCGAAGGGTGCGTTTCGCCCGCCTCGGATCTGCTTTCTTTGTCGAGATTCACTTTCGTCGTGATGGCGTCCAACGCGGTTCCGTATTGTGAGCGGAGGCCTTGAGCGATTGACCGACAGCCAACAAAGCGTGTGAGTGGCTCTCCGGACCGACGTGATGAGCAGAGCAAGGCCGCCGTGGAGGAAGCGAGGGGGAGATTTGACGGAGGGAAGTTTCCCCCCGGGAAGAATTGACGGAGGAAAATTTCCCTCCGACGGCCGGAAGCGGATCGTGGTAGAGCGCGGCACGATTTGCCGGAGTCGTGAGTTTTGTAGTATCCTGTTTGGACAGGCCTTAAAAAAGTGCTTAGGTGTACCTCAAGCTTTTTTTTTTCTTAAAGTAACTTAAAAGTGCCACATTCTTTTTATTTAGAAGTTTTATTCCTCTAGTATTACAGATAAAATTTCAAAAGTTTATCACTCAAAAATCAGGGGCAACGAAAAAAAAATGTGTTGACTAGGACGAGTGCTGCCATGTATGATCAGCGCCGCAAAACTACTCGGACGAGCCTAGCTTGTCCGTGGAATTGAGGGCTACCAGAAGAACCACTGCATCTTTACGCAGTGGTTCTGCATAAAAATAACCATGGTATTTTTATCCAGAAAGCGGCGGACGAGCTCAGCTCGTCCAAGGCACTTAAAGAGTTAAATCAAAATTGTGCAAAAAAAAAAAAAAAATATTGCACTTAAAAAAAAATATTGCACTTAAAGAAAAAAAAAAGAATGAAAGCCATTTACAACTCCCTGTAATGCTGAATTAGAGCACAGCTCTTGAGGAGGAGGAGGAGGGAAGGGTAGTCAGGGTAACGTGTTCGGGGGAGGAAGGGGTCACGTGACCTAGGGGAGGGTTCATGTGACCTTGGTGGGTCACATAGCCTCAGGGGGGGGGGGGGAGGTCACGTGACCCCCCCCCCCCCCCTCCCCTCCCCTCCCCGTGGTTACCGAAGGTACCCAAGGTCCTTCCAAAAAACCCCGAGGTCCTCCCGAAGGAACCCGAGGTCCTCCCGAAGGAACCCAAGGTCCTCCAAGGTCCTCCCGAAAGAACCCCTTAAACAAATATTTCTCTGCTCTTTGTGTGGCCGTGATTATTTATGTGAAGTGTTTTTTTTTGTTTTTTTTGCTGCGATACCACACACTGTGCTTGCTTTTTTCTAAAACTTGATCCATGTATCCCTCCTACCTTGGCTGCCCTACAGCAGCCGGTAGTATCAATAAATAAATAAATAAATAATAAATAAATAAATAACCCGGGGTCCTCCCGAAGGATCCCGAGGTTCTCCCAATGTCCTTCGGGAGGACCTCGGGTTCCTTCGGGAAAATTTACCCATAATGCACCGCGCGGTTACGCCGACGGCGACGCTGCTCAAGCCTGAAACGGGCACCTAAGAGCTGCATTCTAAAATTACGCCGTTTAATATTACCTCGGGATATATAATCAACCATTAACTTAAAATGCTAGAAATTGACTGGAGTTGCCCTTTAGCACGACATACACACGCACTGTCACAGTTCAGTCAAAAAAGTTTTGCAGCGAACAGCAAATTTAAGACCCAAATTACGGCTGCACAATAATATTCGCATTATTCCAAACTAGCACTTAAAAAAAAAACCTTTAAATCGAGAAAAAAAAAAAAAAAAAGAACCAGGGGAAAAAAATTGCCTAGCTTCGACATTCTGTTTCATGTGACGAGGGTACGATAGCACTGGACGAGGGCTTGGAGTTGATAGGCTGGGGCTTACCTGTGTTGGCCACACTGCAAGAGGGAGGGAAGGGTTTATGCAGTGCGCAAGCGCTCCCCTCCCTCTTATGGCGCAACCAATGCAAGCAAGCAAGGTTCGTGGAGGGAGACGAGCACTGTCACACCCGTATGCGACAGTGGAGCGGCCTGGCTGGAACGTGCCTCTCTCTGTCCTGCAGGGGTGGAGGAGGTGGGGCTGCCGGCAGAGGACTGCCTGCGTGGGGATGCCTGCCCCGGCGTGCCCCCGGAGCTGGAGGGTCTGTGGGGGGCCTTCGAGCGGCACTCGGTCGGGGACCGTGCCCGGCAGGACATTGTGCGGGAGGTGCAGCTCCTGCTGGCGGCGGCCTGCCAGCAGAGGCACCTGCTTGGCATGGGCCTGGCCGGTTACCGGCTGCTCCTGCACCAGCAGCAGGCCTCTCGTCAGGTGAGGGGCACGCCGCCGCCCTCTGGGCCTTCTCGGAGCACCGTTTCCTAGCGCCTGGCAGGGAAGAGAACGCGGTCCGTATATGGACCGCTTGTAGCCCAGTCAATGTGGGCGAAGTTAGCCGAGCTGTCCTGCGTCAGACCGTCGTAAAGGCTGGTCTGTGCATTTCCGTTCATAGAGACCATGAAATGACTTTTTTACTTTTGCCAAATAGCTTTTACATTAAACGTTTCATGTTCACTGAACGCCGAACAAGCATCTGTTTTCATCTTGGTTTATTAACTTCTACACGAAAAATTACTGAAATAGAGTTTCTTCCTCTCAAGCTCACTGCAAAACGAGCCGGGGCTCAATTTTGACGGTCGTGACATGCTCTGTCACCGGAACCGGAAGTTCTCTCGGCAGTAGGAGAATGAGAGCATTAGCGGCGGGTTGGCGGTGTGCCAGTAGGTTTTACCACAGAGTTTTACTGCATTGATGGCATTGATGCCACCAACATATTTGTTGAATCGGCGCCTCTCATCACCGCAGTAGCCATGGACACATCGCAGCTGAGCGAAATTCAATTAGATGTGTTGCGCTACAGCGACAGCATGGGACTGGTCCTATATGCCAGTACGCCTGTTGAAAAGTGCGGCGACTCTTCCGTCGAAAACTCCAGTTCCTCGTCGGAATTGGACGGCAAGGGGTGGCGACTCCAATGTACGGAATCTTTCCGAGCATACACGGATGACCTTAAACCTGGAGTCCCTCAAACCGATGATCCATGCTTCGACGTGATTGCTCGAGTGGCAAGCGGTGAAACTGCAGAAGTTAGTTTTTAAGCTCTGGGCTGCACAAACTGTAATTCAGGAATTTGCAACGAGCGCGTTAGCCAAGACTTTGTTCGTTGTGACCGAAGCGACCAGAACAACCGCTCTGTGCCACGCAAACGCACTCCTTCAACCACTGCAGCAAGTGCAGCAGGTCGTCAGCACAACAGCCGCTTCTCCGACGCCGTCAGCCATTTCCGCGGTATCGCTAAAAAGAAGTGGACGCGCTGTCACTCACTGGCGTAGCAGAAAATGAACAGTTTTCTACTGGCTTAAGCTTTATTAACTTTTATTTTGTCTGGATAGGCTCGCAGAACAGAGTGGATGAAAAAAGAAAAGAAAAAGATGCAGTACGCTTTCTTGGACGATCACGACTTTTAAACACAACTTTACGGATAGTACAAATCTCGCTACATGCCTTTTCTATGATTGCAAAAGACGATGTGATCTTAAGAGAGATATAGCAACGTAGAAACGTGATTTCGTGATCACATAGACGTCGCGATTGCTCATGAATGCTAACGCTAATCACTTTTCTCGGGTAATGAAAACATGTCAAAATTCGCATCCTTCATACACTCCCTTAAATATAGTACGCACCTGTAAGGCCTCGAACTTCTGCACACGCATGGAATGCGCAGAATAAGAAATCCGGGGGATGCTCAAGGACACATATGCCAGAAAGCACCAATTTAGTCGAAGTAAACAAAGACGACGGGATGAGCATTTCTGCTGCCCTAGGGGGCCGCCACAACATCAACGCAAGAGTAGATGGATTTTCCCTTCTAGGATGTGCTGGGTTATCATCGCGACACGCGACGAAAATTCAGTCGAGGATAATCCTCTGCGGAACGATGAGCTTCCACCACACCGACCACGTTAACGATCACCATCAGCAGAGAGCAGGAACCGCGAAATCATTGGAGTGTGAAACAGCACAGGTGCAGTCTTATCTTTCTCTTGCTTCGTTTACCACACGATAGATGGCGCATAGCTCCGAGCATTCTAAAATTCGGAAATTTTCGTCGCATCGCTAATTATTCAACAAAGTGTGGATCAGAATATTCTTTAACAAAACTCTGAAGAAACATTCACCGGCTATTTATTGTTTATGATCGCGTTGCTGGTGAGGTAGAGTCTTACCCAATAGGCGACGTGGATTTGGGTGACTTGCATCGGCCTTGGCTCCTCATAGTGCGTAGCGCCGTGATCTAAAATATGGTTGCCATTCGCTGAAATCGGAAGATCTTCTCGATCGAATAAAGTCTGCAGTATCGAGCGGACCACCTATCCCAAGTTTTGCCACAACCATCCAGAGAAACAATCTTTCCCAGTATAAAGCAGTACCTCGCTGCACCTAAATGCGAATCACTAAATGCCGCCGGCCTTCCACATGTTCCCTGTGCCCTTCTTGTCGTGGGGATTTGCGGGACAGCTTTATCGCGCGTAACTAAAGTTTTTTTACGTTTGTCGTTCTTGCCAGGAGTCCGAGAGGCTACCCTGCAAGCTGGGACCGGGTCTCGGTGGGGAAATCCCGCCCCCGGGGCCGTCCCCACACCCCGCCAAGTCCATCTCGCCGCCTTCTCCGTCGCCGCTGCAGCCTCCCTCCTCGTCGTGCGACGCTGAAGCCCCCTCCCCGGTGGCCGGTGAAGACCGGGGGGAACCGATGGTGCTGAGCCGCGAGATGCCCAGGCCACTCGTCGAGAAGACGCTGCCGCTCCTGGCCACCTGAGCGCGCTGTTTTTCTCTATGGCGTTTCCGTTCTCGTCCTCCTCGGAGTCCCGCTTTTTCGGACTCGTCCCATGTCCCATCCCTGTCTCGCGTTTCCCGGTGCCCCCGCAGGCATCTCCAGTTTTGCTGCGTCTGCAACGGTTTCGGCGGTGAACATGAGGAGCTCGTTGAATTGTGTTGGGAAGCGTGGCATGTGCGCTTTCTCCGTGCATGTGGCGGTTGTCGACCGGAAGCGAACCTGCCGGGTATTTTCCTGCACTCAGTTACCCTTGGCTGTTTTTAAATTAGTTGGGAGAATGCGTCTCCTTGCGTCGGAGGTCTGGCTCGGTTCAGCGCAAAGGCAAACGACGATTCTGTACAAAGCTTTGTCGCAAACGTTTGGTTGGAGAAGTATCGGGGAAGCACCGGTGTTTGTACAAGCGCCCGCTGGAGACTTTTTCAAATTGTGGAGTCGTGCAAAGTTTGCATCAAACTCCCCTTTCTCCGAAAACGGCCCCTTGCCCCTTTTCATCCCAGGCCCTCGGTTTTACCTCACCCTCTCCATACCTTTAATTTAGCAATTGCACCATGCTTTTTAATATTTCACGTTCCCCCTCTTTTTTTAAAATAATTTATTTTTTTGGCTTTTTTCCCCTTATCTTTTTAAGCCGTTTTTTTTTTTTGTTAGCTTCTTGGGTTTTGAGACGAATGAGGGAGAAAAACTTGGCACCCACCAAGTTTCGGCGTGCGACGCAAAAATCGTTCTAGGCAACCAACTTCAAGTTTCCAAAAGATTGCTGTAAATAGTACAGTTTATGTTTTTGCCACTTTTTTAATTAACAATCCTGAGGGGCAATTTTATTGATAGGAAATTTTTAAATCTGCCCTCGTCTCTTTTTCCCGTTGTCGCCGTGCGCTTTCGTTCCGTCCCAAGTTTTTCCAAAATCTTTACGACGCTTCTTCGGTGGTTAAGGGTAACGAGGGTCGCGGTTCGTCGCAACGTGGCCGCACGCTTGCACCGGGACGGCAGAGTAGACGCGACTAGGATTGGAACAGCTCCGCGATTACGCCTTTGGTCTTGCCATTGGCCGAGTCCAAAGGACAAGCCCCGAGGCTCGTCGTCGGTCTTCGTCAATGCCAGTCTTCTGGTCCCGTGGTGAAGACGAACGAAGTTCGAGCTGCGATTTTGACTGAGTGCAGGAGGACACTTTGGCAGCTGCTTGGGAGGGGGAAGGACCAATTGGGCGTGTTGGTCAAGCACCACTAACAACATGGGGAGGAGGTAAGCAACCGCCACATTCACGCACTCTGCGGTTGCACCCGCAGAGGCTGTGGCAGCGGCGAGTCTGTCGGGGGGGGGGGGGGGGGCGGCGTATGATACCACCGGGGTGGGAATGCAATATTTCGGGAGCAGCCGCACGATATGCAAGTGGCGCAAGAGAGCGTCGCGGTTGCTCCCCTCGTTTCCGTTTGCGTTTCGTGTCGTGCGTCGCCGGTCACGTGCCGCGAGCTGCGTGGCACCTTTAACGGCGAAGAACTTTTTGTCCCCCCTCCCTTCGTCCCTTTTTGAGACATCCATTTTGTATCGCTCACCTCGTAGTGTTCATTTTTCTGTGTCTGCCACTTCCGAGTAGGGATCTATTCAATTTGTGTACCGTTGCAATTTGTCCACCCCCCCTATTTTTTATTTTAGATTTCTTCTTTGAGGGAGTTTGCGTTTTTTTGCGAGGCAACTGTGCTGGTGTTTTCGAAGACCTTTGATGGTGTTGAGAGGAGAAGGCCCTACCGCAGGAACGACGGGTGCTCTTTTTGTATTGATCGCCGTCTCTCCGGTCGTGGGGTCTTTACCCTCTTTGTTTGGCGTGGGTGCGTGCCTCTCGTTTCTTGTTGACATTGTTGTTGATGCTGCCACCGACGGTGGCAGCAAGCCCGGTTGGTTAGCACGCGGAATCAATTGAGCCGGGCTTTCTCTTTGGACTGCGGCGAGAAAAACCGTAAATGACGTCGGCGTGTGTGTTCCCGCCGACAGTGCGCAGCAGCAAAATTCTAAACTGGAGCCGATGACCCGTCGGTGACAAGCGGTGGCAAGTGGCAACACGGCGCACCCAGGTTGGACGGGTCACATCGAATGCAGTAGATTGAGCGAGACGAATTTGGAAACTGTAGAACATTATCGTGCGACGGCATTTGGAGTTGGACAGCCCAGCGAGGAAGTGTCTCCGAGCAACGTGGTTGTTGCATTAAAACAGATGCCAGCAGAGAGATGAAAGTCCGTCGGAAGGTTTAGATTTTTAGTGGTCAACCACAGGACCGCGTCCGCTCCGGTACCTTTGCCATTCGGGTCACTCGAAGAGGCGCCGACCAACCTGGGTGATCCCCTTTCCTGGCTTGTCACTTTCTAGCTCGGAAAAAAAGAATGACCTTGGTCTTGAAAGACTGCCAAGGTGACTGCAGTTTCGGCATCTTCACTCCCTCCCGTTGCCCGAGGAACGGGCAACTGATTGGACTTTTTGTTTGAGCTTGTGCCTTATATGTATGTTGCTTTTCTTTTTTGGTTGTTCCTGTTGCCATTGTTAAGGACCCTCAAGGTCCATGTGCACCGTTGCGTTGTAGCTCGCAACAATGTTTGCAAGGCATGGAAACCTGCTCGCCTTTCTTGTCACCGACGGGTGGGCTTTGGAAGAAAACTCTATTCCGCTGGATGCCCTTAAACATCTGGCATCTTGTAGACGGGAAAACAAGAGTGGCAGAGTGCGCATTCCGTGCGGGCACGCACGCACACATCTTGCGAGGTATAGAAAGTTGACAAGTGGCGTGCGTCCTCTGCGATTTCGAGGCATGTGGGTGTGTGTGTACATATATATATATATATATATAAAATATATATTTAGGCAAAGCAGGTACGATTTGTGAAAGGACAGAAACAGAAAGAGCCAAGTTGTGTCTCTCTTTTGATTACGACAGATTTCGAAACTGAATTGATTGATTTTTTTTTTTTTCTTTTTACTTTGTGGCAGAAGGGTAGGAGACGGGCCAGGGCGCATGCTGGAGGCCCAAATACGAGACCTTGGAAATGCGAGGTGCTGGTCATTGTAGAGCACAGGACTAAGCGAGACTATAGGGCATTGGAAATGTGGTCAAGATAGGGGAATTGAAGGGCAGTAAACAAATATATACATATATATTTTCACGACATTCAAGCATGCTGCATTCTGATCAGTAGACCAATCAACTCCAAAAAGACGTGGTCTCCGTCACGCTCAAAGTGCGGGCCTCGCCGCCTGTCTCTTGTCCCGTCCTCTGCTGTTTTTCTTCCTTATAATTTCGCGCTCACAAACTAGCCCGTGGCTCCGTCGTTTGTGAAGATCTCTGTCAGTCTTCCCGTTCCGTTCTTATTACGACTGAGGCAACGTTTGGTTGGCAACACAGAGTTGCCTCAGTGGCAGAGGTTGGCAACGCTGGGACGACGGCCACATCTGGCGCTTACGCCTTCGTCGCCGTCGATACAATTAATACCTCAAGAATGCTACCCCCCCTGTAGGCACCAAGACTAGCCGCAGTGTTTGCTGTTGTTGCCACTGTTATTTTTTTTTTTTCTTGTTTTTTAAAAAAAAAATAATACGGGCTACTCAATGCGGGTTTCGAAACTGTGTGTGTCCTAGTCAACAAAAATGTTCCCACCTTTACCCCCTGCATCGTGTACAAAAAAAAAAAAGTGTAGTGTCGTATTAGTGTCGTGTACAAACGAGACCCGGAGTCTCCGCGCTCCCCCAACAAATCCAGTGCCCTGCCCCTTTTCCCTTTTTCGGGGGAGAGCACCATCCGCTGGTGGTTAGGAGCGGGAGCGGGAAGAAACAGTTACGATATTTCCGAATTCGGGAGCCGCGGGGGCGAACCGGGTGAACCCCCTTTGCCGACCCCGACTCCCCTCACAGTACAAAGTAAAGCAAACGCAAAACAAACCCGTGCCAAGACTGACAGGGCGTTGCAAGCGCGTTCTTGGCAGGAGAGACTTTGCGAGGACATCCCAACCGACGTCCCAACCCCTCTCCGTCGGTTCGAACCTTCACTCGTCCCGCACGTCATTTGTGTTTGGAGTTTAACCTGTTGGAAGCCCCCCTCCCCTCCCCCCCACCCCGTGCCAAGAAGTCAATTGAGAACCCCTCGTGCGTCTCTGCATCGTTATTTGCGTGTCGTCCGTGTCGTCCCCAACTATTTATTTGGGCAAGATCCTCCTCCCCCGATGGTCCATTCGGGAGACGTCTCGGCTTCTGCAGACGCGTCGTCAACGAAGGTGGCGACGAACGCGTCGTCGACTGGAAGGCGAGGGAGGGGAGGGCTGGGGTGGATCTTTACCTGTACATAACGCGCACCATCCAGTCCTCTTTTTTTTTTTTTTTGTCTTTTTCGCACGCATCGGGTTGGGAAGCGGTCGTGGCTTGCCGAGAGGTAGACCCCAAGGTCGTGCAACTTTTTTTGTGCGTTTCGGTCGGTTCAAGTTTCTTTTTCCCCAGTGTAGGAGTCGACTGGAAGGTGCACAGACAGTGCTCGGTGTTGCGTCGATGGTTTCTGGTATGCAGGCAAGGCGTGTGTATTCTTAAAAGGAAGGAAAAAAAAAATGTTTAGTGGGCTCTTGCAATAGCTTCTTCGTCAGTTCTCGGCATTTTTGGCTAGCTTTCTCTCGTGAACACTTCAGAAGCTATCCGCAGTGCGAGAGTCGGTCCTCCACACTCGCGAGGGTTTAGCCCATGCCCCGTTCAACCGGCTCGGGAGGAGAGGCTGCTGCTTGTGATTTTATAGACCCATGGAGCGAACCTTTTCCCTTCATCTGCAATGACGGCATTTTGTAGATCTCAAATTTACAAGGACCATCTGTTCACGAACATAGGCAAATGTTGCATGTCTGCGAGGTCGACACCCGACGGATGTTGTACTTTGTTTGCTCCCGAAACATTGCCATGTCAGAAATTTGTCCGGAAAGTAGGTGGAGGGAAGGCACGATGCGTTTTATGTAGCATTCTGAAAGCCTGGGGATCTAGGCACACGTGGCCTCACACACAGCTCTCCGAAGCAAATGCGTCCTTTGCGTTTGTTTAAACATTGCTTGAAGCTTGTGCAGACAAAGTGTAGAATTGACACAACGTCCATTGTTCTATGTTGGTTTTCGAGGTCCGTAGGAGGTGGCCACAAGAAGCGTAGATCGTCGTCATGAGGGCAGAGCACCCTAGAGTATTACTTCCCTTCGTTAATCCCACCTTTTTTTTTCCCCGACTCGCGGTTCAAGTTTCTAGAGAGGGACCGATGGATTGGAGTGTTGCGTTAATCATGGCCGATTGTCTCAAGTTTCGCTGCGAGCGTCCGCCAAGGTAGCTTGAATTTACTGTTTGGAGGATGGGGCATTTTGGGTTGTTTGAAGTCGTGTGGAAAGCTGATCTTGCGGAGACGCGGGTGAAGTATATTGGATGTGCCAGCTCGGAACGACAGGAAGAGGTGTGAGAGAAAGGGGGGAGGAGAGTGGACTGTGCTTGCACAGGTGCCGACAAGACTGTGATTTCTGGGGCTGTGGGAATGTGATACTCACAAGGGCAGGAGAGTGACAGAGTTGCCAGGTGTGGGGAAGGACGCTTCTTGTACGACCTTGCGCTCTGAGAAAGAACTTTGTACTTGCAAACATGTCTCGGGGGCACGGCCGTGCTACGTACTAAAACTCCGGACTTGCAGGCGTGCAGAAGCTGCAACCGGCGAGTCCTTGCGGCTTGTGCGTGAAACGGCTGTGTCCCGCGCAGTCTTGTACTTTGTGAGCGTGGTTGGAAAGCCTGTAGCTTGCGATTGTGTGCTGCGATGAGCCGAGCTTCGTGCGATAGTTGCAAGTGTTCGTCACGTTACGCTGGTAGTTACATGTACCTCTTAAGAAAGAAGCGGCTGAGGTTGCCTCGTTGCCGCAAGGACGACAGAAGTTTGGAAAACTTGTTAATCATTCGTGGTTTTTTTTTCGTTGTTCATGGTGATTGGTGAAAGGGAAAGAAACGGAAGAAATGACAAAGCAGTCTTGACAAGTCTTGCCTCATTGTTTTTACGAGGAAATGTCACCTTTTGTGGTTGGTTGCAAGCAGCGTAGACAGCGGGAGAGGATATGTCTGATCGATGGAAGATGAAGCTGATAGAAAGGATAGGCATGACTGTGTCCGAAAGTGAAGCTGCAAGGATGACACGGGAGAAATGGACCAGCATCGCTCATTCTGCATTGTACTTGGTATCACGTGGCCTTTTAGGATGAGCAAAGGAAGGACCATCAGCCGGGGATGGAAGGTACAACTCCGCATTTCTTTTACCCCTCGAGGTGTGATCTGTGGTGGGGGGATTAAGGGGTGTCCGAGAGGGCCTCTGTTGGTTCTTGTTGATGCGGAAAACCGGTGGCGTGTTGCTTGTGTGTGTCTGTTCTCCCTCTCATTT